GGGGTCAAGAAATCAAAAATCGAGAATCGAATATCCATCATCCATCACTCGAGCGACGATAGCTGCCCATAGTGTACACTGTGTCATCGTTTCGAAGGGCCTTACCTGTATACGTATTATACAGGGCCTTACTCTACACGATGAAGATACGACCGACCCTGTTCACTCTTACATATCCGGCATCTTTGGCATCGGACGTATCAATCAATCGGAACGTACTTACTGTCGGCAATGACGAACAGAATTTTTGGGCCTTAAAGTATTACACTAAAATCTCTATATTTAGAAAGGTCTCATGGGCCTGATTCTCTTAATCATTCCGTAAAAAAAAAATTGGGTCCGCTGTCTTATTTCGAAATTAATGTCGTACGTGCGCGGTATAGATGAGTGCCGAAATTAAGGAGAGAATTTAAAGGGGACTTTTCGGGGGGTCACCCCCTTCATTTTAGGCCTTAGCAATCCCCTCGTTAAGGGAACTTTCCAAATACATTTTGCCGGTTCGCTTTGTCGGGTCAGACTTAGCTCGCGCTTAAGTAATGGCATCTTAGCGCTGCCCAGTTTCGTGATTCCCATTAGCTGACTGCAGTTAAATAAATTGATTTGATTTCTCGCCGCGTTCGATTTTATATAAGTTTACAAGTATCCAAGAAGTCGCTACATGGATATATGCTTATTTTACCTGACGGCTATTCTCACTATTCCCACCCAGCACACCGGTACAAGTGTGACTACCTTGTACAAGGACATTGCATACTATTGCGTTGCCAGATCTTTTATTTATTCTCGAATTCGTTCGATCAATTCGGGAGACAAAAACAATCTTGTATCCCAATAAAAAAAAGAAAAGTATTGCGAATTACAATTAATGGAGATGCTCCAGTGACGTCACGTGACCCATGACTGAATTGATCTCTTACTACCATCTATGATATCCGCATTCGCTCCGTTCTAAAGTCACTTTTATTATTTTTCTACAGGCGATCGTCTCACGAGATTCTTCCTCGTGAACGAAGAGGCTGAGCTTTTGATGGAGCCGAATACAGGGATGCTGCGCACGCGTCTACCACTGGACCGGGAAACCCGTGACAGATACGTACTGAGCGTGGCGGTACGCAATGGGCACCTGCTTGGCTACTGTCAGGTATTGTTATTAATTTCATATAAATATATAATCGAAAATATTTATCTGATTGACTAATAAATTTTTTTTCAGGTTGAAATTTTCGTAGAAGACGTCAACGACAATCCACCCTCCTTTCCTTCGAGTTCAGTAAGGATTTCCGTTCCGGAGTCACATCCACTTCATACACCTCTCTACGTAGCCCATGCCATAGATCCTGACGTCACTCCATCCGCACCAATTCGTTACCTTCTCACTCAAAACAGCAACGATCTGTTTGGTATCGATGCGAGACTCGGCGAGCTTTACCTTGGCAGAAGATTGGATTACGAGACTCAGCAGAGGCACAGCCTCCTGATCAGCGCCCTGGACGGCGCCGGTCTCTCCGCCAACCTCAGCCTGAGCGTCGAGGTTCAGGATGTGAATGACAACCCCCCAGTGTTCGAGAGGAACGAGTATCACGTGGAGGTTCCCGAAGGCGCCAGGCTCGATTCGCAGGTGAGAAAAATCTTCATTACACGCCCGTCACGCGCACATTTGTTTGCCGAGAGACGGTCGAGTCTCGTGAGGTTAGGTGTGGTAGGTTCGGAGAACGAATGTGCCAGGGTATCAGGATACGAAGGTATACGAGGAGAGCAGCACCAGGTAATTCTGGATCGGAGTGAGATTGTATGTGGAAGATGGAGGAGGAGTTAACAACCTCTCTACGAGCGATACCTCCTCCCGGCCTGTGGGATGCGTAATTTCACCTGGGACAACCAGGAAGCGCGTCTCGATCAAACCAGGAATCCCCGGAGTATTTTACATTGGCGCAAATGCAATTACTATATTAGCAGTTAATCATATGGAATTTTAATAAAATTCTACGATAACGGTTATATCCGTCCATACTACAGGGATGACGAATGGACCAAAGATGCTGGGCTGACAAGTCGTTAAAATAAGGTTGGATCTTAAATAGAGCACGGAGGTCCGTTGCTGATTGGTTGTCTCGGAATCAGTAGGCTCGTATCAGTGACTATCGGCGAAAGAGATCTGTAAGCTGTCTGTACTATCTCGAGGATATCTCCAGCTCCTAGAAGAGGCTGCGGGGTAACATGGCTGCCGTAAACGTAACCCTTCACCCGCCGCGAACTAATAACGTACAGTTAGACACATTACTGCCGGCTCCCATGTCAGGTTCTGTTCTAATGGTCGCTCAACCAGCTTTCTCTCTCTCTCTCTCATTCTCTTTACCTTTCTCCATTCCTTCCTCCTCTCCTTCTTCCTCTCTCGCTCGGTTCTCTCCTCTCTTCAATCACTTCGCTCCCTTTACTCCCTTGCTCCATCCATCGATCATTCCTGAGAGTCGGATCTCGCACGAACCCAGCTATACTGCATATACCGAGTCCCTGAGTCCCTGAGTCCCTGAGTCTCCTCTCTTTCTTGTCCTTTTGTCTCTGACTCTTTTGATCTCTTTTGCTCCCTCAGACTAGAAAGTTCGGTGGGCTGGAATGGACCTACGTTTAGGGAACGCGCGTGGTGTGATTTAATTAATACACGGACGAACTCAGACAGGGTGGTTGCTCTCTCTGGCAGCCTGAGAATGCCCAGACTTCTGAGCCCTGGTCACGTGGAACGCGAACGGACGTAGAAACAACAACTGTTTGGATCTTTAAGACATGCCGATATGACGTTACTCTCCCCTCTGGAATTTCTCACTAATTTCGTGGCCATCGACTGGACGCTGGCTTACAAGCCATATGCATTATCTAATGAAATTAGTCAGACCTTATTGAGCTTATTAATTAATTTGTATCTTTTATATTTTGCTTTTACAGATAATGCAAGTTACTGCAGTCGACTTGGATACTGGGAACAACGCTCGTCTCAGGTATCGACTTCAGGGTTCAGCATCGTTCCGTATCAGCCCCAACTCAGGCAGGATCTACTTGGCGCAATCTCTAGACCGTGAAACGATCGATCGATACGCTTTGACTGTATTGGCTACTGATAACGGTTCGCCGGCAGCCACGGCGAGCGCTTCCGTTCTGGTCAGCGTTCTCGATGACAACGACAACGAGCCGCACTTTGAGAAAGAATCTTACAGCTTCGAACTACTGGAAAATCTGCCATCAGGGACATTAGTTGGTACAGTCGCAGCATCTGATCCTGATCTAGGAAGAAATGCTCTCTTGAGATACGCAGTGGTCCAGCATAACAGCAGCTTTGTCATCGATCCTGATACCGGTAAGTTTCGGAATACATCCTATCCCAAGTAGAGATACAGTCTGAGGATAGGATGAACCTACAATCAATCAATGATCGAAAGGTCACATACGAGTGCTCGTTGGAATCACATGTGGAACCTGCTGACGTACCTGGACCACACTGCTCGTATGGTCTGCGCTGATTCCCATGGTGTCATAATATCTAACAATGTAGCTTTCTCTGGTGAGCCAAGTCCGTCATGCTGTGGTCCACGTCGATGCCGTCGAGGCTGTCCAGGTCGGCGAAGCCGCCCTTCCTCGGGTTGTGGGCTTGCCACTCGATCAGCCGGGTCACACACAGAATGTACTGGGGCCCTTTTGGTGCCAGAGTGCCCTTCTATCTCTTCGCATACCGGCCCCTCCCCCTCCTTTCCGACCGATGAACCCACTATCAGTGGCTCTCAAAGTCGTCAGGATTGCTGCCGAATAATTGAGCGTGTTGCCATTAAATTTCTTATTGGTAAACAGCGATTTGACGCGGCTGACAGTGTGTGAAGAAGAGAGAAAGAGAGAGAGAGAGAGAGAGGCGACTGGGACCGTGGAGATTGTAATCCTAATTATGAGAAGAAGGGATTGGTGTTTCGGGGCGTGATCCTTACGTGATCTGGCATCGCTTCCATTCGCGCCAGCAAGGAACGGTTGAGATCAATCAAGATCCCCTCGAAAGGAACAATTAATTTCCTAAATAGCCATTAGCCGTCGACATGCATAATTTACGTTTTGGCTGTCTGTCAGGAGCTTTATATCCACTATTGTTCTCCGTGGGCCCAATGTCGTAACTGGCTATAGAATAGAAACGATCTCCTGGGCCCCCAGTGCCTTACTCGGTTACTCCTAGCATTTTATAAATCCGTAACGCAACGTCCTTTTTTACCTATTCTGATCTTGTATTAATATCCATTCCTCGCGCCGGAGCAATAAGTCCCAGTATCTATACGTATAGCATCTATATAGACGGGCCCTATCGTCTAGCCATCCATCCATCTATCCGTCGGTATCCCTAAAAAAGATGCATTTCTACTTTCTCCTTCGTATAATTATCACGAGGGGAGAAGCAGTGGGGCTTCATCTTTACCATACCGTACACACTGAAGGCCCAACGCACACTCTGCACGTACCACGCAGCACGCACTGCCGTTTGATTGGCATGCGACACGAGAGTGTTTGTGTACACGCCGAGAGTCGGCTTCGAGCGTGCCAGGCCCCGGCTCTTCTTCGAGAGGCCCTTTACCTTGCTGGGCTGCTTGCTTGGCTGCCACCGAAGACCGCGAAGGAAGAAGTAGGGGAAGGCCCGGAGATCCTCTGTTCGGGATCTCCCGGGCAACAGGAAGAAAGAAGAAAAGGAGCCGGAAGGAGGAACACGGGTGAACAAGGACGAACGTGGATGAATATGGGAGGCCAAAGGAATGGGGGGTCTCATTCAGAATCTATGCGGCTATTGAGAATCACGATGATCAACCCAGGAAGAGACGCCTCGTAGCCATATTAGCCTCGAGAATTTTCAAGGCATTCCAAAGAATTCGCTTTCGATGCGAGAGGCGCGTTGCTTACGCGTGCGCGGAATCCATTTGGGCCTCATACATTTCAATCATTTCAATTTCGTCACATTTTCATTCCCCACAGGCCCCTCGTTCTAGTACCTCCTTAGGTATTTACTTCAGCCAACTTCATTCAATCGGAATACTACTGATGACATTACGTTCTTTCGGTCTCGAGATATTATGTGATAATCTTTTTTTTTAATAATAATTAAAAGTCTAAACGTCCGAATCAAAAAAGGGCTACAGGACTCAAAACGAAAGTCAGGACATTGGTTGAACAATGAGGCGCTAATGGGACGATTGGAGCTCGCCAGGGTAGCGAATTCACCACGGGTGGTAACAGCGGTACCAGTACCTCTTCCTCGTAGACCAATGTCCAGGTCACTGCGCCAACCTTAGACAGAGCGCAACAAATTCTTCCAATAGATCCAACAATCTTTTCTCTCTGGTATTTAATTAGTTACTAATGTACCAGTGCGGGTGAATTGGAATCGTTGGTGCTATTGGGGTCTACTATTTTCTTCAGCTTGCGCTAGGGTCCACGGATCTGTAATTAGACAAAGCTCGTTACGCGAAAGCGCGTATTTTTTGACTGATATTATTTTGTATTATAATATAGTGTGGTTCTGTGAGAGATCTGGCAAGCAGCGATGAGGAGGGGCAGAGGGGGGTGATAGCAATCATTATAATGCGAAAGACGAAATAGGTAGTCCGTCCAGTATAGGTTGGTAACCACCTGAATGCCATCCTTAGCCGAAAATGGCAAAAACAGGCGAAGCAGCTGAAAAGATCCTCGCGATTATCCAATTTGCCATTCCCGGAAAGGGAATCTTCGGTCCACTTGCGATTATTATGAGAAAGTGAATTTCGAAAATTCCGAAATTATTATCTTATGATATACTTATTCCTCTTTGGGGACAATGCTTTTAGGCGAGATCACTACGAGAGAACCCCTTGATAGAGAATCCAAAGGGGTTCATGAACTCGTTCTGGAAGCTCGGGATCAAGGGACACCTTCTAGAGCGGCCAGGGTGCCTCTCAAGGTTACCGTTCTGGATGTCAATGACAATTCTCCAGAGATTCTTGATCCTCAGGGCGACGTTGTTAGCGTCAGGGAGGAACAACCTTCGGGAACTGAGGTTGCTAGGGTCAGGGCAATCGATACTGACCTAGGAGAAAATGCTTCCGTCACATACAGCATCCTCAAGGGTAAGTTTATATTATACATATGTGAGATCATATCATGTCATAGTGAGGATGCCATTTTTAATTAGTATTTTCTTCTTAATTATGAACCGTTATCCTTGTCTATTTTGGAAATTTAGATCGAGACTCGGATGGTCACAGCGTCTTCACCATTGATCCAATAACTGGAATGATCAGGACTAAGGCTGTTCTGGACCACGAGGAACGTAATGTCTATCGGGTGTCGGTCAAAGCAAGCGACGCTGGGCGTCCATCGCGTCATAGCGTCAGGGCGCTTCGCGTTGAAGTTTTAGCTCTTGCTGATAACAGACCGACGTTTACAAGCAGCAGCCTAACCTTCCACGTAAGGATTAGAAGTGATAAATATATTTGATAATCATTAGAATAGAAACTACAGATTCTTTCTCCAGGTACGCGAAGACGCCACTATAGGGCATGCCGTTGGTTCGGTATCTGGTGCTGGGCCTGCAGGTCGCGTAGCTTATACCCTGGACTCCCTGAGTCCCGTCACCGAGTATCCTGCCTTCGATGTGGACCGCGGTTCCGGTCAGCTGGTGGTAGCGCACTCTCTCGACCGGGAGAACATCAGCGAGTACCACCTAGACATTCGCGCCTTGGACACAACCTCCATTGGGAATCCTCAAAGCATAGCTGTTTCGGTGAAGATCCTCATCGAGGATGCAAATGATAACGCACCCAGATGGCCTCAAGATCCTATAACAGTGATGGTAACCGAGAGAGCGGTTATTGGCTCGACCATTTACAATCTGACGGCCACCGACCTGGACAGCGGTCCCAACGGCGATCTGAGATACAGCCTCGTCGCCGAGTTCCCCAGCAGTGGAAGCTTTGCCGTGGATTCTCTGACTGGTGCCCTCACCCTGGCACGACCTCTGGACCGAGAGGAGAGAGCAGAGTACACTCTGATAATAAAAGCTTCTGATCGGGCTCCACCAGGAGATCAATTAGCAGCCACTGTCACTGCCAGGATCATCGTCCTGGATCAGAATGACAACGATCCAGTATTTGTCGCACCGGAGTCAACGAGACTGTCGATCGGCAATGATCTTCTACCAGGTAAACAGTCAGAAGATATTAATAACAATGAATTCTTGAAAGGCAGTTTCTCATTCTGCTTCCTTGTGTTATCTATGTCCAGGCGCATCTCTGCTGAGGGTTGTAGCTGTAGACAAGGATGCTGGAGACAACGGTCGTGTCTCCTATGTGATAACCTCAGGCAACGAAGAGGGCAGATTCTCCGTAGGCTATGATTCCGGAATCGTCACCCTGGCTCGACCTATGTCAAGACTGACCGAGCTGGAGATCACTGCCAACGATCATGGAACCCCTCCTCGAAAGGCCACCTTAAAACTCGTTCTGACCTTGGCCAGTCAAGCAGCAGGACCACCTAGATTACTTCTCCCAGGACCCACAGCCAAGATCTCCGAAGATTCAGCCCTGGGAGCAACGGTCTTAAACGTAGCTGGTCCAGCCATCACAGATCAAGGTAACGGAATCACAAAAGCCCCACAATATCCGCTGTGCACAGCTCATACTGAATGCACTGTAGGGAATGACTACATGAATTGCATACATTGCATACGTTATACGATAACCTATAGAATCTGCGCGGCGAGTAATAAAGAAAAGGGGACCAGAGGAACAAAAAGGAAAGAGTCTACCTGGCGACATCGGTAGCCATTTTTCTTGAAGAATTCCACGTTATACGATCAGCCAATATACAGAAACAACCTGGCATCGTTATTGTTTCGGAGGAGCCGCGCATAAAGATCCTATGAAACAGAGGGGGCTGTCAATTTAGCGCTGTATAGTAGAGCCTGAAATTACACTCGGTTTTCTCACTCTCTCCTTCTCCGAGCTATCCCCGTGTCTCTCCGGCTGGAGGGTTCTTTTCTTTACCGGGTTGCGCCTAACCGCCTTCCAGCATACTACTATATCCAGCATCCGCTGGCAGCATTCCCATCCTTGGACGAGGGAGTAAACTACACCCACACCTAAAGAGAGATAAAGAGAGGAGCGAGGGATAATCAGAGTGCATGCGGCAGATACCCGGCTAATAGGAAAGCCCTGCTATGAAAATACCTCGAATAATTGCCTTGAATCGAGCGAGCTAGCGAGCTAGCGAGCATTATAGTAAATCTAGCGAAATGACTCGCTCAGGGGTCGAGTCTCCATACCAGGCTTCTATAAGGCGCGCGTTTGTCTCTCCTGGCCAGGATTGACCTACGAAGGACTTCCTGGGATTTTAATACACGCCAGACACGGGATTCACCCGGAAGTGAAGAAATTCCGAAGGAGCCTAGCTCGAGGCTAGACCTAATCTAGGAATCCAAGTTGGACGGTCCCAGCCTGGAGTCGGGAAGATGATCAAACTATACTTCAAGGTGGTAGAGTCCTTGGCACTGACTCCTGGGTACTTGCTGGATGCCTACCGTGCTAGTGAATATTGGTAGAGGATGAGAGCAGTCGGAGGGCTCGCGGAGGAAGCAAACAATGGCCGCGTATATCATCGTGCCGCCGCGACGCCGCACAGCCGCACCGCCGCTCTTGCCTGCTGTGGTACGCATAGGCAAATCACCACTCTACTACCTGGCCAGAGATACCAATACGCACGCAGTGGCGCGTACGCGGATCGCTTTGTCTAAGCCCGCTAAAAAAGCGGCAACAGCTAAACGCCGTCCACTGGAATTTGAGAATCGAATGCATTAAACTCGGGATCGGTTGGTCCAGTAGTCACAGCAGCCACTGAGACTACCTAAGCGTTACCTATCTTCTAACTAGTTCTATTCTATAGGTATATCTATATGTATAGGAATAAGATTTTGGTATGACGCAAGGCGCCAGTAACCTTCTTGGTCCATGAGATATCACGTCGACTTCTTCAATGGTGTATGAAGATAATTGACAGAGGAGATGAGTAGTTCTGTAAATGTCAGCTGTTTAGCAAAGCAAGAGACAACCCACACGCTGGTCCCCACGGAGAGTCAGAGTGAAGGTGTAACGATCGGGTCCCGTTCTGGTACCAAGGCAACAATGTCATAGCTACGATCCGGATTCTCTGGGATCGGATTTCGCCGGGAACATTATCCTTCACATTATGGTTATTTGTAGAATTGTCGAATCGTCCTCGTATATGCTGTCCCAGTTGAACGTGGGCCCGGAGCACCGTCGGGCACATCTTTCCCGGTATAAAAACAGCTTCGCCTTTTCCATCTCAAGATTCTGGTTTATAATAACACGTGTAACAGTCTACGTAACTATATGCTATGTATGATGTTATAGCTACATACTTTCTGTTTGCTACCCGCAGCCAACGTCAGCTTCAGCATCCCGAACGGTGTCGCCTCCGACAAATTCACCATCTCGCCGACCGGTCTGGTGACTCTTCGCAGGACCCTAGATCGTGAGGATGTCTCAAGGTACTCTCTACCTATCCTGGCCAGGTCTAGCAAGCTACTCGACCTTACGACTCTGGAGGTTTTCGTCCTCGACGAGAACGACAACAGTCCAGAATTCCGTCCGGGATCCTGCTACACTTTGGCCGTTCCTGAGAACCAGGAGAGCTCAATGGTACATACCGTAGCTGCAGAGGACATTGACGAGGGCCGCAATGGCGAGATATTTTACAGCATCGTTGGTGAGTATCCCTTCTATACTCAGGCGAGGAAAATTTAGCATTCGAGAATGGTTTGGTACTGATCCTGAAATATTTATCTTTATTTTATTCAGGTGGCAATACTGGGGCCAAGTTCAAGCTAGACTCGTCGACTGGGGTTTTGTCCACGTCGAGTCTTGACAGAGAATCCATGGCCAGATACGTCCTGACTATTTCTGCCAAGGACAAAGGTCGACCTAGCCTTGAAGCTAGATGTAATCTCACTGTCATCGTCCTTGATGTCAATGATAATGCTCCAGTTTTCGCACAGAATCAGTACACTGAGAACAGACCACGTCCTATGCCATTGAATATGCAGAATTCGGATTTCATGAATTTTGGATTGCAAACTTTTGGCCAGTACGGCTCCAGCAATTATCAGGCCAATTATATGCCAATAAGATACGCAACTACCGTGTCAGAAGATATTGCCAGCGACTCCAGCGTGATGACAGTGAAAGCTTCGGATCCTGATCAGGGAATCAATGGAAAAATTACCTATAGCATCGCAGAGGAGTCCACCTGGTTATTCAGGGTTGACAACCTAACCGGTGTAATTACAACTGCAGGGTGAGCTGCTCTTTTTTTTAATGTTTCTAAATTCATCGCGCCGCTAAGACCGTCTGATCGTTTATTGCGCGACATCGCGTGCCTGATTAGGATTCTAATTGTATATTACGCCTGGTCGTATAAAGTCATAAAATAGAAAGCAAGGATGAAAAGACACAGGCTGGCTGACCTGAAAGAACTGGAAGCGGCTGCTCGTAAAATTATAAAGTCACTCAACCCTCCATCTATAATACATATACTTATACATATGTATGTATATATTCATAGCCCAGTACTGATAGAGAAATTCAGATTAGGTAATACTGGCTCATACTCTATGTATATTACAAATTTGATTACCATGCTATTCCGTGACAATGCTCAATTTCTAAAATAGGTACAAGTCCAGTAGATGACATTCTTTAAACATTTTCGGATGGATGCTTCAATTTTTCTCAATTCCCATGTAAACATTTTTATGAAAAATCCTCAATAAATATATTTCTAATGATCTGAGCTGTCGGAGTGATCGGAACAGAGAGAACCATTCATTTATTAAGATTGATTGACAATCAGATTAAATTGAAGTTATCCCTAGTTAACTGCCATAAGCGTTATCACTTTGCGCATATAATCCCCATAAGAGGGCGTGGAGATTAAAGTTGAAACGGTTGTCCGTACTTGACAGGAGACTCGACTCTCCTGGTTCTTTGACTCCCGGGCGGCTTTTTCAATCTTTCTTTATTAATCTGCATTTCTCGGCTATCCTTTCGGTCCAGTCTTGTAGTTCTCGTTTGGCTTCGTTCCGGGACCAGAGCAGTATGTGGTGCACCGGGAGAAAGAAGCTAGGGATAAGAGTCCAGCATCTGAATCTGACTCGGAGGCTGTGAACAGTGGAATGGCGAAACGGGTGGAGAGTGGGGAATTTTTGCAGCACGACAGCCGTGTGTCATTTCAGCGAGACACCATGTGGCATTTCAATGCATTATTTCAGCCGGCAAAAACCCTGATATGCAAAACCAGCGACCGCTTCTCCATGGCGAACGGGAGCCGCGTTGTATCTCAGAGAACGTGTCTTGCCGTTGCGTCCTTACTAAATATTCCTGGTGACTTCGCGCTCGCTTCCCAGGACCATCCCGATAGATTCTTCCTACACTATTCGTGAATTCACTAGGAGGGTTGAACTTCTGCAGGGAGCTTATAACGTCTCTCCGCGCTTCCAAGAGCTTTGAGATACTCAGGGCACCGAAGAGGTATCTAGCCTAGGATCGGTACGGGAGATTGTTTGGCAAACCGATGCTGATTTAACTCCAGTATTCACTGTCAGGCGAGCTCGTGCCAACAGTGATTACATTGGTTCAGTTTATTCTCTGGGGATTTCTTAGGTTAGAATGATCCCTCGCCACCTTCCTGAGAATTTAAGAGGCGGCTCGCGGAATCGGCGAGGAAACCTGCGCCCGTAGCGGATCTGTAAAGTTATGGTAATGGCGGACGTGGATTACACAAGATCCCTGTTGCCGATTACAGCTTCCGTCACACAAACAAGCCCTGCGACGGCGATTTAAATATGCGTCTGGGTATATATTGTATAGTCAGGAACCCGTCGAGCCCTTCGAACCTTCGAGCAGCCCTATCGGTCCCTTCGCACCAGGAGACCCTCGTCTTCAGTCTGGTTTACCGATCTGAATAAACGATTTCTAAGTCCTGCTCGTTCCTCTTGTTCCAGCCCTCTCGATCGAGAACGCCAGAGCGTCTACAATTTCCTGGTGGTTGCTACGGACGGTGGAAAATACGACGCCAAGAGTACGTCGATTCCGGTTCAGATCAGTCTTACCGATGTCAACGACAACGCACCGGTCTTTGGGAAATATCCATTCAGAGCAACGGTCCCGATTGGTTCGCAACCTGGACAGAACATTCTGCGAGTCACAGCCACGGATCCTGATCTAGGAATCAATGGAGAGATCATATATTCTTTTTTGAGAGAGGAGGAAAAACCAAAATTCAGGATTCATCCAATTTCCGGAGTGGTCACAGCGACCTCGTCATTGGCTCAGGATAACGGAAAGATTTATCACTTGGAGGTCCTAGCCAAGGATAAGGGCAGTCCACCAAGAACCGCTAAAGGATTGATAGAACTTCGTATTGGAGATGTGTCCGACTTGATACCAGTACTCAAGTTTCAAAATGAGACCTACGAGGTCGTCGTCCAGGAGAACTCTTCTGCAGGAACAGCAATCCTCCAAGTGACTGCAGTGCGTTCCGACGGTAGACGGCAGCACATATCATACTCAATTGGTTCAGGCAACGACTTCGAGACCTTCTCCATCGACGAGGACACCGGCCTGGTCCGTGTCAATGATCCCAAGAGACTGGATGCTGAACTCTGGAACGACGTGACAGCGTTATCCGATGATGACGGACGTAGCAACTCCTGGAGAAGGTCCTTGGAAGGTCAACAACCAAAAGAAGAACCTAGGGAAAGTGCCACGCACACTTTGACCTTACTGGCAAGGACTGTAGGATTAGATCCTCTGGAAGCTTACACGAGATTGACCATCCGTGTGTCTGACGTCAATGACAACCCACCGATCTTCACTCAGATGCAATACTCTGCCACAGTGCTCGAGGGTAACACCAAGGGAAACTTTGTAGTCAAGGTAACTGTCATCTCAAATATATATATATATTTTCTTTTCAAAAACTATGACACTTCTAAATCCTTCTTCATTTTGTCGTTGACAGCTCTCCGCCAGCGATGCAGATCAGGGACTCAACAGCAGAATTCTCTATCACATTGTTGATGGCAATCCTGACAATGCATTCACCATAAGTCCACCATACAGTGGTATAGTCAGAACAAACATAGTTCTCGACCGTGAAATCCGAGAGAAATACAGATTGACGATCATAGCAACGGACCAAGGAAATCCGCAATTGACAGGAACAGCAGCACTTAGCGTCAGGGTGATAGATGTCAATGACAATCAGCCTACGTTTCCGGAACACAGTATCATCTCAGTTTCGGAAGGTAAGACCATCCTTTATTTCTTTTTAATTTCATTTTTTTCCCTCCCAAATGGTTCAGGTAAAATATAATATGAAAAGGCCACGACTCCTCGTGCTCACGGGGCATTAGAGTCCCAAAAGAATGAGCGAACGAGAGTGAAGTGAATGAGAGCGTGTCAAATAAAGAGTAGGTCCTGTTAGGGTGAGTACGAGAGAGAGAGAGAGAGCAAGTGGAAAGTAGGAGTATGGTGCTCTTGAAATATAAAGTTAAGTGGCAAAGGATTTATGCCGGCATTAAAGTCCAACTGTTCGGAACAATCTGCATAACTTAGGCGAGCGCGAGCTGCCGGCGCGCGTTGCCAGTTGCCAGTTGCCACCCTTCTTCAACTCTCACGACTACGGCTATTCTTTATTCTCTTTCACTCTCCCTCTACCGCCATATTGTTCCCCATTGACAGATACGATTCAATGGAGGCACCATGGAACCGCGGTGGCCCGTGCTTCGCCTACACTTACTACATAACCTACAAACGTGTGTACGCGTATTACCGTCAATAATCTTTTTTTTTTATATATATATGCCCACTCGATAATCCACAGTGGGAGCCATGTTATTTTTTGGCCCAAGTATAAGGATAAGGACAAAGATAATGCAGAGGAGCATAAGAAGAGAGAGAGAGAGAGAGAGAGAGAGGGGAAGACAAAGAAAAAAGAAATAGTAGGAAGGACAGGCCGGCAATGTAAGCCCAGACATATGGCGTCCCTTGTTAATGTATTTTTCATTTTTCAACACGGCACTACTCGACGCCGCCGCCGCCGCCGCCGCCGTGCGACTCCTTACATCCTCTTATTGCAATTTACCTCGTTCTGATCCGCGTACCAGTCTCTATGTACTTGCTATACATATCTGTATATATATATATGGATATGTATGTATCCCAGTCTTCTTGCGCTCGTATTTATTAATGTAAATTAAACACGTCGAAATTAATTATAACGCACCTTTTTTACTCCTGCACCACGCCGATTCGCATTTGTCCGCTTAGCAGCCGATAGCAACTACCTTTTATTCCTGTGGATGTAACATTTGCAAGACTTCGGACCAAGGCGAGTTTATATCATTTGCGAGCAATGAGCAACGAACGATGAGATGGCGAACAAGATCAGCCACTGGACTCTGGGAATTCTTCTAGTGATGCCGAGCTGGTTCTCACCAGGATGAGGACGAGTGCGCGGGCCACGATGTCGATCCAGGACGACGTTAACGTTCACCAGGAAATTTATGACTTATGAGAGACGTAGCCGCGTGCCAACTAGTATCTTGCCCTTTCTTCTTCCTCTTTTCCTTCTTATTCCTCGTGCCTCTCTTTCTTGCTATCTTTTTTTTTTCCTTTCTCCTCCATCTATACCTGCCATCCTATACATCTTGTCGAGTGCACCTTTTATAGCGGCACGCGCGTTACGACCTTCGACGCATTTGCACCGACTATTCCAGCGACCAAACTCAGTTTGATCTTCCGTTCTCTGATCTATCGCGGACCCATCGCTCGCAGAATCACAGGTCCGGGTGACTTGTAGCCACTAGAGTGCACTCAAGTCAGCAGGAAGATGAAATGACGTGATAGGCAGGATCCAATGCATTTTAAGTGCTTCCATCCTATCCTATACATATATGCATCACTCTTACTCTCTTATTGGCGACGTCACCCAGGAGGAACTCCAGGCCATCGGGTACAGTCGTACCGTCCTGACAAAGTAGCTGGACAAACTGAAGTGACGAGGTTCTTTGAGGTGGTCAGAGTCTCATTTTTCCACGATGCGATAACATACATCTATTATGACTTATGCCGATGCACCTTATCGGAGCTGCAACAACATTGCATGTGTTTACAGGGACGGTTAATCAAGGATGCCAGATGGAAATACAGATATTATTTTTCTTTTTCAGGTACAGCACTAGGTACCGTCCTTACTACGATCACGGCTAACGACGTGGACAGTTCGCCAGCCCTGACCTATCGATTTGGCAACATTACACGACCTGGACCCTTCAGCATCGATCGGTACAGCGGAAGGGTCGTACTTCGAAAGCGCTTGGATGCTGAGACCAGATCTGAGTACACTCTTCAGGTATTGGCCAGTGACAGCATCCACGAGGCCAGTACAGAGTTGACCGTAAGGGTCACGGATCTTAATGACAATCCGCCATGTTTCCAGCAAGCAGCTTACGTAGCCACCCTTCCAGGTCAGCTGAAATTTTTTAAGTGCTTATTCTTGTTGATGTAATTAAAGGGTTAGACCTCAGCGAGATCAAGAGAAATGGTAATGGTAATGGTAAACGAGGAGGACTCGTTGAGTTCCCTGTCCTTTTCTTCGTCTCTCATTCTCATGCCTCTCCTCTCCTTTTCTCTTTCCGTCTTACGGACTGGCGGAGAGAGCCGAATAAACGCGCGTTTAAAAACTGGTTTTTAGTAGACACGTTGTCCTGTTGCCCGTGTTCCAAACTCGAATTGACACCAGACGGAGATAAAGCCCGCTGGTGGAAGATGCTAAAGGAGAGGAGAGAAGAGATTCTGATGCATCGCACATAAATAAATGTTGGGACACCGTTTGCGAGGATGCTGAGCCGCCTTTGCCTCTGACTCTCCAGTCCGAGGTCTGAGCCTGAATCCGCAACCGGCAGAGTCGGCAATACAATTGGCCTGATCGGACTCGAGGGCCTCACGAAAAACTTATTAAAAATACATAGGGCCCCATAATGGGCCTCGCGGTCTTCGTGTTATTTGCATGCGAAGCCTCTAATGATTTCTCAAGAGATTCAAGAATTTCAACGCAGTCTGTACGGATCAAGAAAAATTCTGCATTCGTTATCGTCCGGTAGACAATGACCCATATGTGAATTCGTAGACAATTGAGAGTGAGCCAATTTAAAAAATCGACATAGATCTTCAACGTCTTGAAGACCCATTCCTCTATCGGCGGATCCGAGCTGCGAGATAAAAGGGAGTAGGGCTTTCGGTACGAGGCAAGAAAAATAAGAGGAAAGCAAATAAAAAAGAAACTCCTTATAATAAGAATTCATCCGAGAGCCAAGAGACGCTGGCATATATGCAATGTATACATACGTGTATATATATGCCTGTATGTATATTCCCAGTCATATGCACCTCGCAATTATACCGTCTCTGAGAGCCATGGTTCCCAACCCTAACTCGGAACATGCCCTCCTACCCTTCGCGCACCATGCTACTAACAGCCTATACCTGTCTTTCTCTTGCTCGCTCATTCATCCATTCGGTCACTCGTGCTCTCCTCCACTTGGGCACCCGCAACCCCGAGGGCCTCGTCTGCGAGGCTTATTTCAAACTCGGCGGACCCTCGCTTGGCACATTAATGCCGAGTTATCCGACGATTTGAAACGCATCGGAATCATTTTTGTAGGCGCCGAGCATCCCCACCGCGCCACCGCCGCGCCGACGATTTATATAACTGGTTATTATTTCATACTTCCGTTCGGTCGGTGTCAGGACGGCTTATCCTCCGCGTGGTGCAACAAGACGAGCAAAGAGGAACCCTTGACCTCACCAGGAATCTCCAGATCTTTGTGTGTTCCCCTTGTACCTTCCGTGCCCCTAATCCTTGGGCCGTGCCAAGTGAAGACTAATAATTTTGTCTGAATCTAGTTTAATGGAGATTTTATATCCTGTCTTTTTCTTCTTGCAGAAGGACGAGCGGACGTCCAAGAAATTCTCATCGTGAACGCCACGGATGATGACCTCACCGAGGAGAACAATCGTGTACGATATTCCCTTGTGCGTCCTAGTAAAGGGTTCTCAGTGAATCCATTGACTGGAAGCGTTATGGTTAATCGTACCGCACTGCCACGACCTCTCCAGAAGGAGGTCGAGTTCTCTATCCTCGCTGAGGATTCAGGAAAGCCACCAGCGACCAGTATCTGCTCAGTAATTGTTCGCCTGAGCAGCCTGAAGAACGCACTTCCTGGGAAGGAGCACAAAGTTTCTATTAAAGAAAATGCTGAGAAGGGTTCGACCATCATGAGACTCTCCGACGTGGACCTCATCGACGGGAGCATCGTATCCGGGGACGATAATGGATCCTTTGAAGTGTCACGCGGGAAGCTGATCCTGGCGAAGAGGCTGGACAGGGAAACCAAGGAGAAATACATACTGAAATTAGGTTCCCGGAGTGAGAACACGACCTCGATCAGCGGGGGAGTGGCGGTGGTCATCGTGAACGTCGAGGATGTAAACGACAACTACCCTCAGTTCCTGGAGGAATTATATCAAGTCGCCATTAAGGAAGATGCTGCAAGAGGAAGTACGGTAGCTGTAGTAAGGGCGAAGGACAACGATCGTTCAGAAAGCCCTGCTGCTTCCATAGTCTATGACATCACATCCGGAAATGATGCTGGTCTCTTCCGAGTGGACAGAACATCCGGTGCCGTCCTGGTTAACGCAACTCTTGACTGTGATCTTGGACCTGAGATACACTCACTGGTTTTAATGGCCTGCGACGTGGATCCTTCGCCTCTCTGTGCCCTGGCCAGACTGCGCATTCGTCTGGAGGATGTCAATGACAATTCACCCAAGTTCCCCGTTTCCGAGTACCTGGAGTTCGTTGGGGAGAACGAACCAATAGGAACAAGAGTCTTCACGGCACGTGCTACCGACTTGGATCGTGGTATCTTTGGCGCCTTGAATTATTCTATCGTCTCAGCAGCTGCCACTGGGTTCTCTGATATTGACGACTCCTGGAGACTCTTCGCAGTAGATGCTAAGTCCGGATCAGTTACTACCAGAGCAGTCTTTGATTATGAACAACGTAACAGATACGCCTTTACTCTGCGCGCTACCGATACTGGTGGCAGAACTGCCGCTGTCAGGGTCAGAGTGGAAATAGATTCGAGGGATGAATTCTATCCACAGTTCACGGAGAAGATGTATCGTTTTGGCATACGAAGTGGTACTCCAGTACTTCCTGGCGCTGTCATTGGACACGTTACTGCCACTGACCGAGATAAAGGACCGGACGGTCGTGTTGTTTATCAATTAAAGTCTCAGCATCCTTATTTCAAGCTTAATCGTACTACAGGAGCTCTCATTGTCAAACAGAAGCTTGTCAACGTAGACGTGGATGTTGAGGAATCATCACGGTTGGTAGTATCAGCAAGTTCCGGTAGACAAGGTTCTCTGTCAAATATGACAGTGGTGGAGATAACTCTAGATGATGATGACTCTTTGTTCTCCTCTGGCTCTTCGCCATCTGATATTGGATCAAACATGGCAGTGGCCGCTGCTGGAGGATTGGCTGATTGGGCGTTGGGTCTACTGATTGCTTTGCTTCTGTTGGTCGTAGCGTTTGGCGCCATCTTTCTTTATCTTCATATAAGAAATAGAAGACACAAGAAACCTGGAACTAAACCTGGATTAAATGGCGAGAGCAACGCCACAGCCTCTAACAGCTATGTGGATCCCAGTGCCTTCGACACCATTCCTATAAGAAGTGTCGGGGGTGTCGGAGGCGTTGGAGGTGGCGTCAGTGCCACTGGAGGTGGCGGAGGAGGCGGTGGAACATCCTGCCAGTTTGCGCCACCGAAGTACGACGAGATTCCACCCTATGGGACTTCAGGGCAGGCAGCTCAACAACAAGCCACTTCTGAACTGTCTGGTAGTGATCAGTCTGGCTCCTCCGGAAGAGGATCGGCTGAAGATGACGGTGAGGATGAAGAGATAAGAATGATCAATGAAGGACAACAAACTGGGGATTCTGCGAGTGATCTGTCAGTGCACAACACTCAGGAGTACCTGGCAAGGCTAGGAATCGTTGATCCACCGGCAGGAACACCAAGAAGACCACCAGAGGCTCTTCCTCTGGACAGCCTCCATCTTTTCGAAGATGAATCTACCACCGAAGCAGACATTGCTACTCTTATATATGGAAAAATCGGTGAACCAGGTCGACCTACGTCAGGACTCGAAGCACCTGGTGGGCCCTCAATGAACGGTTCCTTAAGTTCCATAGTTCATAGCGAAGAGGAGCTAACAGGTTCCTACAATTGGGACTACTTACTAGACTGGGGACCTCAGTATCAACCCCTGGCGCATGTATTCAGCGAAATCGCAAGGTTAAAGGATGATGCTGCAAGCGTCCAGAGCGGAAACTCCGGTAGCAGTAAAGGCAAATCTGTACATAAGGCCCCACCGCCTCCACTGCTCACTTCAGTAGCTCCCAGGTCGCTAGCGGCGCCAGCATTAGCAAGAGGCATTCTACCAAGGTCGCCGATAAGCCACGACGCCTCCACCTTCCCCTCGGCAGCCCTAAGTCCGAGTTTCTCACCTTCGTTGTCACCCCTAGCCACAAGGAGTCCTAGTATAAGTCCCCTGGTACCACCGGCTGCTCAGCGGTCCAGTCAAGGCCCACCAAGAGGGATCCCAGTTGCGGATACTGAGCTCAGAATCTAACTGACTGACATCCACCACAATATAATCCAATGATAACGATTAGTATTATCAATCCACTGTGCTATACGTTAGTCTGTCTAACTGTCAGGGACTATTTACTGGCCAAGGACCTTAACACTTTGCTAGGAAAATTATATAGAATTTTCTACCGAGGATGATAAAAAGATAATAGAAATTAGATAAAAGATAAAAGTGACGCGGATTTTTTGTACGATAGCTCGTTGTCGCTTTCGAGATGAGGGTCCTAGTTTATTAATTATTACCGAAGTCACCGTGAGCTCCGGACTATTTGTATATAGAAGACTGTTATCGTGGCAGGCCATCCAGTGAAACTGAGAACGAGTCCACTAGCGGCCATTTTTATTCTTATCATTAGTTTCGCATTGATCCGACCTCGGACCAAGAGATTCGTCGAGACTCTCTTAGCATAAGTAGCTCTGTATATATATATAAAATACAAATAATAATTTGGTGTTATAATCAAAAGATAGACTGCCGTCGGGGCGTCGGGACGCTTCCAGTAATTAAATGGGACATTCGCGATATACCAAGCTGTACAGTAATCCAATTGTAAGATTTAAGGGTGCGTTTACAAGTCCCACGGGAACAATTTAATCGAATCCTGTAGATACACGGCTGAATTTATTTTTATTTGTCCCGTCGTCCGATAGAACCACGAACGTACTGATCTTTATCGTGGTTTCATTAGGCACGTACGTATTACGTTCATCGTTCATATACGATGAGCTTTTAACTGAAATTAGTGAACGTATCGAAGGGAGGAAATATCGCCGCAAGGGCCACAGCATATCTATAGATAGATATAGTATACATACGCGTATATAATAAATTGTATAAAATGTTCTCGCTCTCTGTACAAAAAGACTTCGAAAATTTCGAAAATGACTTGACCAACTAGCAAGTCATTAATAAATGAATTTTTTAGCAAAATACGAAACCATCATTTCTCTTATACCCGCGCGACCCGAAAAATCTATCCGAAAATATAACTAAATTAATTTGAAGAAAATTTTAAAAAAGATAATTCAAAGGGGTCAGGTTCATTAATTAAAAAACCACAGTATCATATTCCACGTATAAACCTGCATATTGATATAACACGTTAAACTTTAGGTACATAATACACACGTAGACGTAGTGATAGTTTTGTAGAATTTCGTGGCACAATCATTTTACACGTTATTCGTCATTTTGTTTCTCTCTCTTTCTCCTATCCCTCACATTCCTCACATTCCTCGTACATTCTGCCTCGAATATGAATGAATGTAGTTTCGATCCGCAGCGAAGCAGCCTTGGCCGAAATTCAAATTTCGCGCCAAGCGATGTATCCGCGTAACTCAACGAATGGTAATAGGTACGTATGTAAATATAACCATTAAAGTAAGTGAACGCGTGCCTCTAGACGGCCCGTGAATTCTAATAGAACAATGTCAGCGCCTAGAACGCGGGCGATCGCACAGCGCTCGCAACAAAGCCCAAAATTCTCTACATGTATTGTATTTCATTTTTTTTTTGTACACTCACAATCAGTTATCACTATACGATATATCCAATCCTAGCTATGAGTATCTATACAGCCAGCCGAATCGATTAGGAATCCTGTTGGCCTACAGTACTATAATAGTTCTAGTACGTCATCGACAACCGGCATCCAGTCTTTTATTACTCGTCGATGATTAAACCATTTCTAAAGGGAATGACGGTATGCGCCATCATTTGTTTGTATTTTTCATTCATCAAAATTTTCATAAAATCATTCTAATATATTCTCATCTCACAGTCATTCCCTTTGTCACTCGTTTATCTCTATCCATCCGACAGGCGCCTTCCTCAATGTCTACTCTAACCTCAAAATGGCGAGTATTCTTCATGGGTTAAGTACCTGATTATTTGCTTTCACTCTCTATAGGAGGGTTTCAGGACACCGGAGGGAATGGAATAGAAGATTTCGTATACTCTAATAATCTTTGGTTGAAGAAAAAAAAGAGAAAAAAAAATTATTGATATAATGGATCGTTGTTGATCGTTGAAGATCGTAATTATTGCCACTTAAACTGCTCCTCCTTTCTTCTTACTTTTGATATACAATATGGGGTACGATCGTTACTTCTATTTTTTGAATCACCTAGACAAATTCAATCCTTAAGGAGGTAATTAATTGATTCCTTATTGGGAATGATTGACTGATTGACTGCTCTCTATAATCGAGTCAGCGATCGCGTGAACGGGTGAAAAGTTGAAATTATTTAAATAAAATATAATTAACCTTCAAATTTTATAGATAAAACGAACGGCTCGTCTATTAATTAATTCATTAACTAATTAATAAATATAAAGCACTGTGTCTACTTGTTTATCTTTTTACTGTCTACTCGACTAAAGCACCTCACGAATGAACATAGGCTGTACTTTCAATGGTTCAGCACCTTTGGTACGCTAGAAATAAGGCACCACCACGCTCGAAGACGTCGGGACGCTGCGGCGTCGAGACTCTACAATCGGCGCGATCGATCGGAGTGAAAAAGAGCCATCACGAAATACTCCGTCAGTGAAATTCCGGTGAGGTCGATGATGTCGCGCGACCGCAAGATACGAACAGTTCTTAATTGTCCATTATAAAATAGTTGGGTGTCCATATAAAATGATATTGCACTGATTATAATTGATCGATTATCGACACCCAATCACGATACCAACAATACTGATACATACCCATAGCTTTAATAACGTATATATTATACGCTTTTATTGCTAGCTATGCTATCTCAATTTTGAAATTTCTTTGACTCTCGTTTCATCCTAACGACACCATCCGCGTGACATTATTTTAATAACTGCGACATCATTTTGAAAAAAAAAAAATCCGTACAAATAACGCGCCTGTCTTTCATCTCGTAAATTGAAATCGCGACGCGCGACATCTTCGTTTATTTTTTTTTTTAATATTTATCCTTTCTTATAATTTTCGTACGTAAACGTCACGAGGTCGGCGAGTCAAATTGGAATTACGATGGGAATTGATTACATATCAAATATTGTTTCGAATACAAAATGTCTGACCAGGTAAGAAATGGCACAGTGTGCCTGTACCCTTTTGATCCGTGAATATATGTTTTACAGCATCCCTCTATCTAACTCTACGTAGATGTGCTATGATCTTACTGTCCTTTCATGCTTTTCTTCTTCTTCTTCAGATCATCGATCGCTGCTCTAAACGGAGAGTGATGGTACTAGTCAAACAGTATCCTCGGTCACCCGCCTGAGCGCCATCTCTGTCTTGGCCATGATACTGAAACGAATTGATCGGTACATTTAATATAACAGAAAATTAATCGATGGTCTTGAATATCCACAATGGCGGAATTACCACAATGACAGTTCATGGAGTGAAAAAGATGAAGGAAGCAAGGACAATAAGCAATAACTATTAAATAACGAAGCAGTAAAGTATAATAACAATACTCTAATAAGTCGTGCGTGAATAAAGCAGGAATAACGTAGACGTTGTATAAAGTGAACCTAGCCCTACCAACAAGCTTGTTTACTTGGCGATGTCGGCTATCCTGGAGTCATCCTGCATTTCCACGACGATGGTGTCCGGGTCGGGTACACGATTAGCTGAGATGCATCCATTGGCGATAGTAGTTGGCAGCACTGAGTCAGACTGTGACAGAAGAAACAAGAAACGCCCATATAAACAACGTATCCTCTACTAGCTATGGACTATTAGTATTAACTGCATCCAATTTTGAATGCATCTACGTCTGAATGCATACTTGATAAGCTGCAGCATCCAGAGCCATCAGTTCCTTTTTCGACAGGTGTTCGACCACTGCTGCAGCATAGCAATCGCCCAGCATATTGTTGGTGGTTCTCACGCGATCCCTAAACAGAATTACACCCTTGCGATCACTCTGGTGATAGGGGAGTGAAAGAGGAACTTTCATTCTATAATCGATACTCACACGAACCAATCGATGGCAAAGAGGAGAGAGACGTCACAGACAGGTGCGTCTATCGCGCTGAGGACTACAAGAAGAAGAACCAGGGCGGCGCTCGGTACGGATGCGGAAGACACAGACGCAGCAGTGGACGTTAAGCTTATCAATGTGAAAGGTAATAAATTATATTTATCAATAAGATCCAATACTGAATTTAAATGATAACACTTACATGACTGTGATTATTTCCCCGAATCCAAGATAAATTTCATTCATCTGAGCTATAAAGATACTAGCTACAGCTACGAAGAGGGCAGTGCCGTCCATGTTGATATTGCATCCGATGGGCAGGACAAATCTGGTGATCCTTGGGTCGACCCTCAGCTTATCAGTCATCAGGCGAAAGGTGACAGGTAGTGCGGCAGCCCTGTGCAAAATCTTATTAGTAATGATCAGGAAGAATCTTTTAATTGTTTTTGATTTTCTTTTTGAGAAAAGTGCAGGAATCGCTGCCACGTGCGTCACTGGGTCTGAATTGGTTCAGGGGGTAGTTAGGGTTCGAGGGTCAAGGGTCATTCTGGCATCAGGTATCATTTATCCAATCCAGTTATGACTGTCGCGTGACAACGTATCTGAACGTTTCTCCCGTTTCGTTCAAGAAATCTCACGTTGCTTCATTCAATGTTATCAGGTTATCGCGAGTGCGCAATTACTGTTGCGTGATGCGGGAATAGAGTATGTGATTCATAAATGATATATATAGGCATGTAATTGTGGAAAGTCTGACATACGGGCTGGAATTCGGGATTGGCAGTACTCACTATAGTCAGTTTACTGCGAATAAGAATAGATAAGACAGTGACATAATAGAACGAAGCTTGTCAGATTATTATTAGAACGATACTGTTTACTCGTGTGTATTAAATCTGCAAATATATTATTATTATTATTATCTCGTATAACAATACGCAGCAGCCAGAATGACCGAGGCCAACTGAAATTTAACCGTTTAAACAATTAGTCTTGGTGATTCCGTAGACACCCGACGTCCATTTCCATTAATTGCGTTGATTCGAAAGTCTGCAACAAACCAATATATTTCATCTGCGGCCATCTTACTTACCAAGACCCTTTATACGGACCACCTGCAAAAGGCCGCATGCTGCGTTCTAATACATCATCATGATATCATATAGTAGTCTGTTCAGACACTGAGACACTCAGTTCAGTACTGTACGTTTTCTGGAAAAAGTTAATCCACACACATAGTGTTTGAGTTAATGATTCGTGCGACTTAATGATCTTCTAGAGATATAAATATATATATATATATGTGTTATTCTAGAAGGACAAGAAGGAATAGCTTGATAGGAATACGATCCAGAGAGATTATTCTTGCCAAAGAGACGGGGCTAGATGATATAATTATTCTAATTAAATTCGATTATTAAACTGGGAAAATGATTGTTGTCACGCAGGACATTTCGAAAATCTATAATAAGTAGTTCTGCTCTGCTTGTTGTCATCGGTGTCAGAGGTGGTCGTGTTCATTTTATTCACTGTCATACTCCGAGTCTCTCCATCAGTCTCTCTCACTCTCTGCAAGTGCGAACGATACCTGAAAGAGTTTACGGTCGACGCGAACAATCAATATTTTCCCAATTTACTTCGCTGATCGTAGGACTTAAGTAACGGCATTTTTGGCGTGGAAGTCTGCTCTTGTTAGGATTACAAGGATGAGGATAATGACTATGAGGATTAGGTCGTCAGAGACAACGATGACTTCCACGCCCGAATCAGTCCAGGCGACACGGAGTCAGCAGACTTCCTGTCCGTGTGTGACAATCGGGCCGAGATAACAAATTAAGGGTTGACCGTATAAATTTTAACGAATGATTGATCGGCGATGATTGAAAGAACTCCTTGACCTCCATTTTCGTTAATTTTTGTTAATATCGAAAAAAGAGGCCGGGGAGGGACCATCGGTCGACATCCTAAGTGCCACCCGGAGCTGCATACCTCTCATTGTTAGGGGATGATAAAGATCCCTTCGTGAGCAATGCGAATGTCAAAATGGATTATGGAGAATTGGATAAAAGGGAAAACGGGATCTGGTCAGCGTTTCACAACGTTTCTTTGACAGCTGTCAAATTTATCGCCAACGCTGTGTAAAACTGGGCCTTACGGATTGGTACTAGAGGGAGGACCTCGCGGCCTCGCAAAGCCTCCACTCGCTGGCTGAAACACACTCTCAATCAATAAACCCCTCGAATGCGCTTGAGGGACGCATCGGTGCCTCAAGTTCTTAAAATTTGGCGCCTGAACGTCCGCCTCGTCCTCGTCCTCGTGGTCTTCGACCCAGGTCTACGGAGGAGGAGAAAGGGTGCGTCCAGGCGCAGTTCTAGCTTCAGGACGTAGGATGTTGCTACAAGAGTCGAGGTCATCGCGACTGAAGAAATTAGTAGTTCGAGGCACTTTGAGGCAGGCGATAGGTTCAGGGAGGGGTTATGGTCGAAGGTCGACGACTCACGTTGAAGCCATGGCGAAGGCGGTGAGTGTGCCCTGGGCGAGGCCCGCGTAGAATTTAAAGGGGTTCTTTCTCACAAAGGCCACGTAGATCAGCTGCATGATCACTAGTTGGTAGAATAACACTCCGACCACGATGGTCATGATGAACCAGGCGAGCTGCGACATCACCAGGGCCAAGTTATTCACGCCTAGGATCTTCCCGGCGATTACTGAAGTTATACCCACAGGGGTCATCCTGGTCATGGATCAAAATGATTCCAATCAATTTTTATTTACTTTATTAATGACTGTAAACCCACTGCGATGGTAATTCTCATTACTTACCACATCACTGTGGATACCATCCTCATGATCACTTCGAATACTGCTTTGAAGAAGTCGATGACCACTTGACCTTTCTCCCCCAGTGTTCCCAGGAAGGTCCCGAAGACCAGACAGAAGAATACGATACCCAAGGTATTGGTACCACTCCTGTATCGAATCTCTCTCATCAGTCCCTCATTGGCAAGACCTTCTGAACTTGGTACTTTGTCAGTGTCGTTTTGGAATGACGGTTTCTTCGGTACGTAGACTGTGTGAGCCTAGGAAGTGACGTCAAATTACTAATACGTTATATTCTAATTAATAGGTATCAATTATACAACTGATAACTCACCTGCTGGAAAGCCGCCTGGAAAAGATTATCAGGGAACATATTCCTGGAAGGAAAACGGAGAACCATCAGTTCGATTGGACTTATGACAAAGGTATGAGTTTACAGAGAGTGATCGATGACCGGATAATTTATTATATTTTCTTTCTCTATTCATTCTTTCGTGACAGGAAGCTATTCAAGTGATCCACTCATCCCTCTGGCACTCAGCCTCAACTATCTATCTATATCCGTCTTAGAATTGCGTGAACTTGCGTCCTTGCCAAGTCAACGTCAACCAACAGGCAGTCACTGGGTAGTCTCTGGCAGGTCATATGAATAAAATAGGTGGATCGATGCGCGAATGTTTTCCGCGGAAGTACCACCGCCAATGCAAACAATTCCCAATATTATCTTTTTTTTTTCAAATCAAGGTAACGTACCTTCCAAGGTCCAGGAGACTGTCCAAGATGTTGACAGCTCTTGTATGATTGCTCTGCGCGATGGAATCGCGAAGTCCAGGATCACCAGGATGTATTAGGAGTACCAAGGCAACGCCAAGGATCGCATTCAATAAGGATGTCAGAATAAAGTAGACTAGGGTCCTTACAGCAATTTTTCCATTCATTCGAGCATTTAAGCTAGCCGAGCCTACAATCATAATAATATCATTCATTAGCTTCGTTGTATAATAATTATTAATTAAGAAAAAATTGTTCATACCGGAAATCAGACTAGCGATCACAAGCGGTAATATCATCAGCTTCAGAAGCCTCATGAACAATTCTCCAGGATAGCTGATGAGCATGATTGCGTCATCGCCAAGTTTCAAAGGTCTCAAACCAAAACCTGTAAATTAAAAGATCAATATTTAATTTTCAACGATTCATCCCTCAACTCGTACTGTTATCCTCGACTCTGAAACTTCTCTCCGACCGTGAAACGGAGTGGCAGCTTTTTTCATTGTCTATTTACGTACGGTTTTAGTTAGTTACGTTAATTGGACAAGACGCTCAAGACGCTCGTAGGAAACCCTTCCGAGTGATTGACACTTTTTAATGCGATAGAGTGACGTATAACGATGCATTTGCGTAATAAGCTCAAGTTAAATTTGAACTGGGTCGTTTCTGCCGGTACATTAAGTCGATCGGTTAATCCTCCTGAAGGAAGGTCGAGGTCGAACGAAAAACTGTATCCATATCGATCGTCATCATCATTATCCTCGACCGCCTCCATTACGTCCTCATCCTCGAGAAAATGACAGGAAGTCAAATGGCAGAAACCTAATAGAAGGGAGAAGCCCCGATCTGAACTCAATACCGAAGCATGCGTGACTCTGCACGTGTCCGATGTTTCGTGTTATTCTTCTATTTCTGTGCAGACGATGAATTACGTCACAGTCGTCAGAAAATACCAGGTACCGACTATTCGGTAAACAATAATAGAGTAGTAGCTGTATTTTTTATTCCTTTACTGCCCCCGCACCCATTTGCCCCTTTTCCCTTTCACTTTGCTACGACCCTTATTTTCTCTGGTAATTTATATACCTAGAATGGCCGTCCAATACTCATTGCCTGTGTCTGTCTACTTTGAAAATGATCACAGTTATTGATAATTCCTAACTCAAGTGATATTTGCGTAATTGGAGAGGGACCTAAAATGTAGCTTGTTAAGCGTATGGGTTTTTGTAATTGGCAAAATTAGGAACGTGACGGTTATAATTAAAAAGTAAATTAAGTGAGAGAAGCGCCCGACGCCTATTTATTTATTTGACCAGTCACTTTCAACTCCATTGTGTCAACTGATGTCAATTAGAAGAAACTGTATGAATTGACAATGTCAATCGAAAGAAATGGTATCAGTTAGTTCTCGTCAGACGCAATCGTTTGGAATTAATTGGTTAGGGAGGATCGTTATTTTTAGTATGGATGACAGAAGGTCGGCGCAAATATTTTCTATTGGTACTATCCGAGGGTATACTAGGCGTGTGATGTATATATAATAATAATGAAAAATTCGTTTTTTTCAATTATTTATGTCGTGTATATTGTACTTGTAAAAGACTCACCTAGTACTACTCCTAAAAGTACGCCAGACAGGGTGACCAGCAGGAGAAGATTTTCCCTGAGCCACTTCCTGGTGTCGGCTGTCACCTTGCGGGGACCCTGCGAGGCCGAGACGTCCTGCCCGCCCATTTTTGCAAACAGGTACTCGGAAAATCGCGAGGACGACTTCTCTTCCATTTTACTTCCGCACCGGGAAGATCCTGGACTCGGTCGCGATCCCTCGCGGCGTTCGGCGGGGCCCTGGCAGCACGACGACGAGGGGTTGCCGTTTTGGGAGTGTTTGCGAAAATTCCCGTCCGACCTATTACGACTGCCGACCAGAAGATGGATGAGCCTGATGGCCTTCCAGCTGCTTATGAAGCCGATCTTGGCAGCCTTCTTGGATTCTAGCGTCTCGACAACCGGGACAAGCCTGCCCCTGAACTTCTCAACAAGAGTTGTACAAAGGCTCTAGCCAGTAGTGCAACCTCGGGGTCTCCTACCGCGGATACTTTTCTCAATCTTCTTGCTTGACTCGGTCTTCTTGCCAGACGATTCCTGAATACCTGGGATAATCGGTACCAGGATCGGTAGGTTAACGATTCAGGTAGGTATACGTATACCTAGTGGAAAGACAGAGACTACTGGTGAACGGACTGTTGCGCAGGGTCAGTTACCTTGGGCTCCTTGACACCTTTTTAAAATCTCGATATCAATCAAGGAACACGATTCTCATCCTTCCTGTCCAGAAGTCGAGTCAAGGATTCACTAATATTGATTTTAATTCTCTTCCGAATTCGTAATATCGACACGACGATCAGATCTCGAAATATAAAATCTCTGTTTACGACTCGAGGCTCCAGGGTGTGCGATACGTTCTTTCGGAAGGTTCAGCCCCGACTGGCCGGCTATGGTCGGCCATTGCCGTATTGATTGCAAAACCTCTTCGAGGCTCTTCAGCATTTATGCTCTGACAAGGGACGCCTGCGCGGGAATATTATCTCCTCTCTCTATCTTTCTCTCCGTATACCTATCCTATCCTCATCCAACTCCCCTTCACTGATCTTTCATTATTTCCTGTCGAGATACTTTTCTAGCACGACTCGCTGAATACGTCAGCGAGGCGTTACGACCTTAATAATCAACATGAAAATCATGAGACTCTTCGGAGCAGAGTCGATTCAGGTCTTCTTTTTACTCGACTACAGATTCCATTTCTCACGTGATTCTTATACAGTATCAATGTTAATAGACTCACCTTCTCTCATCAGCATAGATAATTTGATTGATTGCATGACGTCATGAAATTTAGGTCAACTTTTTTCTTCATTGGAACATAACAAAGGGTAAAATTGTCTCGTAAAGAACGATCAATGTTCCCAGATATTCGGATCGATATACACATATGTATATACACAGCACATTATACGACACTCATGGAGTAACACAGAAACGAAAATAGTCTACGAAAAGTCTCCAGCTATCAATTCCAGTAAGATAAAAAAGTTTCGCGAACTAAATCCAATCGATGGACACGACAGTCGGGAAGGCTGAAAGTTTAGCGACTTAAGGTATTATAGAGAACAGGTATTTCTAACCCTGCGGTGCATCATGGGTAATGTATCAAGCGGTGACGTCAGATTAGAATACACGCTTGTTTCTATAATACCTTAGAGCGATCCATAGACAGCGTCGCCATCTATGAGGACATAACGCAAACTTAATATCAGTGCATTATTAACGGTAACTCAGTCGAAACAAGGAATCTAGGTTACCTCTGGTATTGGCTTCTCGAAAATTATGTAAATATCTTTAACGGCGATTTCGAGAATTTCACATGTAGATGGAGTTATGGAAATTTACGTGCATGCAATTGTAAATTCCAACGCAAAAGTTTACCAAACGTCGACGCTTTCGTGCTGGTTGGCATTGAATAATGAAGGCAAAACTTGGCCAATACCCTTGCCGAAGTCTTGCCCTAGTCTCATAAATAAACCCTGAAGCACAAACTATACATTCGTCGTCGACCATTCGACTGCACCAGCAGGGTGAATTGCGTATAGCTTGAAAATAAATGACGAAGATGTAACTCACAACATTTCACCTTATTATAAAATCCCTCTCGGGATGTTCTGTAACAATGAAAACCATGTATTCCACTTTTGGGTCCTTCGATCGAGCCTTTAACACCAGGGCTTAGGTAGAATATCCAAGACCGAGACTAACGTATTCTGATGCTTAATATTCGCAAGTCAAGCATACAGGGTGTCCCAAAACTACTTTTACGCTAGAAAGTAGGTGTTAGCTGGAGGACACCCGGGAACCTATCGTAAAGCGTTTGTGGAAATTCGCAATAGTTTTAAAACGCTAGCGCTGGCTTTGGCTCTGGTACTGGTGCAGTACGGAATTGTTGATTTTGGATTTTGCTAACAGCGTAATTCAACGTGAAATATTAACGAATGATAAAACCAGTGAGTAGTGTTTTTCACTCGTATAATGCTCTGTAGCGATTCATATTGCCGCGCCAATAGCGACGATCTAAGCGCCCTCATACTGACCGCGAATATCGCCGAAATTACTGTATATACTAACCATACCTCGTCCCATTTGCCTATCGCCACAACCAAGTGGCGCGTATTAGAAAGAAACGTGCCAGGTTATAATATATAAAATTAAAAGGTATAAGAATAGTCTCTTAAGTAGATCCAACAATCAGTCGAGGCATAGAAACTCTTGTCTATAGACAGATTGACAGGTGCCGTGGGATTTACTGAAATTCTCAAGTGCCATTACATCGGAATACCACTCCGATTTGATTAGACCTTAGAAGGGGGTACGTCGAGTTGACATCTTTTTTTTCGGTGGCTGAGGGGATGAACAGAAAAAGGATAAAGGGAGTCACGTAGTGTCGGTGTAAAGAGAAAATCAGAAAAGATCGATATTGGAGAAAGTGAATGAGCTTCTGATGGATGAGAATGGAAAAAGTTTCGGAGAATAGAAGATTTTTGAGATATTAAAGGTAGTATTCTCCTTTGGTAAAGAGACGATTAAAAGATAGCCATAAGTAGTACCGAAGCGAACGTCTACGTAAGTAGTGTGACAGGATTAATGCCGTGAGAAACTGAAAAAGTCGATATCGAAGAGTGTGAGTATAATACTGGATAGAGTGAGAGTTAACAGAGAGTGTGAGACGTGGCTAAGCAGATTTAATGTCGGAGACGTCAGTGTCGAGTCCCTCGAACCTTGAATAGAACGTGAAACGCTGCCAAGACAAGAGCCATTATGCTGGCACGTAGTGCCGCGTCAGCCGCGATCCTTGAGTGTTCCTCTCAGATTTTGTCTCCTGGTTTTCCTAATTTCTGGAATCCCGCTTACGGCCTAGCAAGGATTTAATGGATGGAGGAAAAAAGATACAGACGAAATAGTGAGAGGGAAGAATATTGTTTGATGATCAGTGGAGAAATAATGACAGCCGCGTTGAAAAGGTTAGAAACACGTTTACTGATTGTATATTTTGTTCTTAGCTGTATATACTTTTTGCTTCGGTCTTCTTATGGCATTATTGAGACAAATGACTCATTCAAAAAATCATCGAGCCACTTCTATCTTCCATTTAATATTATGTTCTTTCTACCTTTTTATTAATTTCTGATGAAGAGAAATGCTTTGCGCCTACGTCGATCCCCATCCTTCACTATGTCTCACGTTTCTTGCTGATGTTTTTCAATTCTTTTTTTCATTATCGGATTAGGGTAATTTCTTTATTATTACCCGTGTCTCACGATCTCGTGCTTATTTTGCGTTCTCGTGTATTAATTCAAAGATATCTGAAGAAAAATTGTAAGGTGAGAAACTAGACTCCGCGTTCTTCCTCGTATTATTTCATGAGAATTTTTTCTAGTATTTTTTAGTTTCTCCTGATATTTTAGAGCTTCCTTATAGAATGATGCGGTACGGAGCTTTTCGTATCACGGTTAAAACTTTCTTTCAGCAGTAAGATTGCCGCGAAGCTTTTCCCATATTTTTTTTTTTCGAATGCTTACCTACAAGAAACGTCGGCCTACGCCCGAAGCTAGAGACACCTGGAGTCGACACCTACAATTACACGTGAACAATGTGTCCGATACACAGCGTTGAGAGCTATTGGGATTTCCACTTTTCCAGTTCCTTGCATCAACCACAGCCGATTGTTTCCACGTTCGTTTACGGACGTCTGACAGAGTGTTATTTGGAATAGCGAATTCAGCCCCCTTTTTTTTTATTGAAAATCCTATTATAATTCTTGAGCCATAACATATCAACTCACTTCTATTTCAGTTGTAAATATACACACGTTGTCATCTGTATTGTATTTCATCATGTATTATTACACAATCTACCATAAAGGATCATTTATAAAAGTCTAACGAGAGTTTCGTAAATTATTTGCAACTTGTGAAAATTATCTTACTAACCTCGTAAATACGATATTACCTATTACTGTAGTATGGGGCTGCGAGGCAAGCGAGTCACTGAGCTATCAAGCTCTCCAGGTAAACTATCTCATACTCTGAGCACGATTCTCATTCTCAACTCATGCCCGTCCCACATGTTCTGCGTCTGGTCTTTTCATCCCTTGATTGCTTGACGCATTTAGAATTAATATGACGCCAGGTTCCACCTTCTTCTAATATAACTTTTTAAACGTGCCATTGGCGATTAAGTATTCCAGACGGTTATTTTAACATATAGTCAAGATACGAAAAAGTGATGTACAGTAGGAGGGCCGGAAATAAAATAAAGAAATATCTTCAAAGGTCAGGAGTCCCACCTGTGCCTTCTATCTGTATTCGTAACTGTCGAGGTTCGTTTCAACGCTGCGGCTAATTAATGACGCGAGAGTTGTGATGCATGAGGGAGTAAATTGCGTTGAGGGGGTTGAAAGGGACGGAGATGGCATCAGAACTGCTGTATTCGTTGTTCCGGCGATGGCGATGCTGCCCCTATAGGTGGTTTTGCTAGAGTCTCTCTCGCTTGGGAGACGAAGAGGCAGATAAACGAATTACCTTTGGTCACGTCAGATTTCGTGGGAAATCGACTAGAGCTAGTATAGGTGCTTAGTGGAGGGGATGAAAATAGGGAACCTTATGCGAGTTGAAAATCCTCACGAATATCTATTGTACTATATATAGACATTTTTCAAGGGGTATCCAAACATTTTTCCATATGAATGCCGAACAAGAATCCTGTAATTAGTTCCGTGCGTCACGAATTCCTTTCCCAGATAGAAGGAAGCACCCTTAAAGAAATTTAATTTCTTTCTTAAAAAAAAAATGTATTTCACTCAGTCACGTGAAAACTTCCGAATTACCACGTTAAACCTCCTAAATATTCATAAGAGATTTTTACCACCCTGTAGCTTGTATCAGGATGCCTTAATAATAGCGATATTTCACCATCCTTATGTAGGCGTAACTTAATGGTTTGGTATGTGTTACCAATCACGTTTTTTTCCACGTTCAATTGAATTTTCAATTTGCTTGCCAGATTCACGGAACCATACTATTAGGTACTTGTGACGATCCCACAAAGAAATTCTTCGGTCAGACAGTTTATGGGATAATACTTCAAAGAGGGTGCTATCCTTTTCCAAAGCTTCCATTTGATCTACCTAAATTTAACCGTAGCCAAGAGTAAACTAACCGCATTATAGCAGTGCTTCAGGATACTGTAATACGTAACTGGATCAAAGCTTAATGTTAAAAATCAACGAGAAATAAGTAGAGAAATAAACGTGGGAGATGAGAGGGAGAAAAATTTTAATGAAGAAACCCCTTCACCGGTCTTACCAATTCTATCAACACCACTCTACAAATGTTACTATTCGATTTGCACTTGAGGTGTCGCGTTACTCGGGTGCCGAAGTTAAACCGCCAAGTAAATTCGATTACGACAATTGGTAGTAAAGTCCAACTGGAGGGATAGGGAATTGGTCTTCGGAGGGATGAATTTTAGCATTTCATTAAAGAATTTTCTTTTTAAACGGGGGTTAACTACTAACCATCATGGGGTTGGAGGATAGTTTTGTGCATGCAAAACGGTGGCTTTGCATAGAGGAAGGTGAATTGGCGTATTGAGTCGAACAGGCGATACTTCCGATATGTATTAGGGGTTGTAAGTTTACTAGGTTTGCAATATCAGAAAAAAAAGGATTGCACTTATAGGTCACTGTGTATAAGGGATACAGCAACCCTTTTCATCAAGATAGAGAGAGAGGTATCTCTATTATTCGTAAAAATGTAAACGGTAAGGGTGATTTTAGAGCCTGCGCGTTAAGGGTGGTTCTCGGGAGCACGAGCTACCGAGGGTTGTACAGACTCTCAGGGTAACAGTGCGCTCACCGCCACCACGCGACGCGTTTCTACTGATACGGAAATCCTGGATCGGTGGATCATATATAGATCATTCAAAGTAAAAAAAAAAAATAATTTGAACAATTTGAATTCCAATCGAATTTTTGTAACAAATCTTACTACGCGGGAGGGTGGATTTTTCATTAAATCATCATTGCGCAATTTATTTTTTATCTTCCACCCAATTTCACCCTATTCAAATTTCACTCGAGAAACGCTTTTCCTAGAATCCGATGAAAATATTTCGAAGTAAATGAAATATTTTTTCCGAGCCTCCTCAAATTTTCTTCAAAGGACCAATATTCGTCGGGGCTGTGTAAATCGAGGTGCTCCCCGAAAGAACTAGGAATTGCTTCGGAAGCAGTGGGTGTAGAATACGCGCGTAACCTTTCAACCTTACCGGTTACCCAACAAAAGTGTAAGAGTGTATAAAGCAGCACCAAAGAGGGTGGAACAGGTGTGCGCGAAAGGAGACCTTGGCTACATTCAAATTTCCGAATTTCACTACTTCCCCAGTTTCCACTCCGAGCACACCCCCGAAAGATTTGCTTAGCTTTCGTTTTCCAGTTTTCCCGTTTTACATCCCCTCGAGGATCAACCCAACCCCTATACCCAACCTCTATACTCAGTGCAGTGCGAGCTTATCAAGTTTTCGATTCCCGCCCATTTTACAAGGATCTTCAAAGTGCTCGCTAGGGGTAATTCCACCGCAATGATCAAACCCACTCTGATCAATCATTGAAGAACTCCCAAGAGAAAATTAAAGGACGAGGGCTCGTCCTTCGACCCCATTCAAACTTGAGGATGGATTGGATCCCGACGAAAGACAAAAGTGACCAAATGATGAGGTAAGGCAGATACCAATTGAACAATACATTGGTACAATCTGTAAAATTGGTACAGACGCAAAAAAACAAAAATCCCTTAAAAGGATCTCTGTTCCATAAAAATTAATTTCATAGAGCTCCAATGAATTATCATCACCCTCAAAGTAGGACACTAGAACGAATTATCCCGTGTTCAATTCAATAGACAGGGATGCTGCGAAAATCATTACTGTACCATAGCACTCTGCTTACGGTCTAAGTGTCGTTAATCGAATGAACGCATTAAATGTTCAAAGGGGTTGAATGACGCGATTGTTTCGATCGGTTCGGAAGGTCGATGAAACGACAACCCTTAAATGATGCGTATAAAGGGGCGGGTGGTATTAAATATAAAGAAAAAAAAAAATTCACTAGAGATTATTCACTCTGTAGATATACGGTATAACATCCGCGTCTTTCTCATGTGGGACACTGTGCACGTGACCTCCATTATGAAACAAGGTAGGTCAACGGGGAAGTTGAGAAGAGAACCTCCCTTGTGCGACTCTACGTAAAGGCCCTTCGCGTATCCCAGCCTTTTTTACCTACATCGAATATCAAGCATTCAATCCCCTCGTCAGTAGTGTCACGTGCATCCCTTATACAAGTGCCTGTCTAAAACGCGTACCATCCCAATCGCAGATGCAAGGGTTGTATCTCCAACACAAAGCACCTCGTTACTCCAGCAGCCAATCGGACTAATTGCTACGACGTTGACCATGTTGTGTAGCTGCTTCGCTATATTTCATTCATCCGCCATTTCGTCGTCAGGAATACTCAAGCTAGCCTGACCAACCCTTCTGGTACCCAGCTGTAGTTAAAGTAGCTACTCGACGAGAAGTGACCAAGATTTATCTATTGTTTACATTATTCTCGGCTTATGTAACTATCATGGAAGTGCCTACCCTTATGACATGAACTATCTTTTATGCCAGTCATCCCTTATGCTTCTGCTGCTGTTTATCTTGTAAGTAAAGCCCTCTCGTGCTATTATCTGTAGGTTTGATATAAAGACTGGTTATTATTAATGGGCTTGAGATTTCCCTGTAACCCTATTAGCCTAAGCTCAGCCAAATCTGGAGGTCCTCTTATAGGGGTTTATATAAATATATAAAGTGTCCCTAGCATCTCGTCGAATATGCGAGAGTACCCGAGAGGACCAGAAACAAAGTGGCGTAGGGAATAAGGTGGCAGTACTCGCGTAGCTGAGTCACACGATATACAAGGGGGTGGAAGGGAAAGTGTACGAAGTAAGGGGAAGTAGTGAAGAGGTATTTTTTTAAATAAAGTAAAAAAAGTGAAAAAGAAGGAAATATGGGTAGGAAAAGTGGCTCGAGGCGTGTAACGAGAAACATGGGTATAGGGGTGAGGGCATGAAAGGAGTAAATGGGGTGGATCGAAAGTACCTGTATCTAGTGACAGAGATGGTAGTCTAGTAGTCTAGTAGTCTAGTAGTCTAGACCAACGAGCTTGGTAACATTAGTAGAGATAGCTTTTCTACTCCGGATAAGGCGGACAGAGATGAAAGTAAAAATGGAAACTATCCAGGAGATGAAGAAGATGCAGAGGATCTAGTACTATTCCGTTGGTCAATTTATATCTGCAGTATCCTCGTAATGGATGTGGCGCTAAACGTGTACGAGGCCTAAATAATCGTATAATGGATGAAGAACGTGTATAAGGGATACAACCCTTGGGTCTTTGGAAGTATGATCACGTATGGTCCACGTGCTGTCATAGTCTCTTGGTCTCAGTTATCGAAACTTTATAACCAATTAAATCGAACAGCTGGAACTGCGTTACAAGACTTCACGACTCTGGTGGGTCCAGCTGAGATTGGTTCGAGATAAATTGATAATAATCCCAAATTTGTCTCTTTGTTGTGTTACAGATGAGGTCAACGAAGAGGAGGAGCAGGTTGGCCGTCGCGCACCGATATCTCGCCGCCGGAGGCTGATTATGTCGTCCAGTGGCCATTCGAGCTTCTCTCGTTTCTCTCTCTCGTTCCCTCCCAGCATCCCATCTCTCTTATTCCTTCTCTCCCTCACATTTCCTCTTCAGATCCTGGGAGTGCTTGGCGAAGATGTCATCCGTGATCGTAATACGCAGCCTGCCCTTCAGGAACCGGAGGATCAAGTGGGCAAAATTCTTCACACCACCACCCCGATTGAAAGCCTTATGTTGAATTTTACTAAATCTGATGAAAATGGACCAGTTAATCTTACCAGTAACTTTCGTATTGGCGACGCTGGCGACGCCTTTGACAATATCTCAGAGTTTAATGGAGATAGAATATTTTTTAATCAGAGTTACCATAGCACTTTTCTAGGCGACGATACAAACGGTACCTGGAGGATCAAGAGTGATGGGAGTGAAAGTACGTTTTTCAGCGAAAGTTTCACTGATGTTTCATCATCCAATATCACGAAGGAGATTGATGAATCCATTTTGGAGAACGAGCCACCATTTACGGGATTTGACGGCTCGCAAAAATTTCCAGTGAGAGCTACGCATAAGCCACAACCGGTACCTGAGAAATTCGACAGGCGCCATTTTGGACCGGCTAAAATCGAAGAGGAAACGACTTCCGGTTTACCGGTCATACTTCCTTCTCCGGATCTTCCCAAGAGTCCCAGTCGGGATGCTCCTCATCTTAGAAGAAAAGTAGACGAGGACAATCACAAGATGTCAACCCTTATTCACGAGATAATGACAATTCGAAATCCTACCACGGAAGACGTTACCGGTAGTATCAGTACCACAGAAGCGGAGAGAGAGATAGTACCAGAGGCTGATAAGATTAACATAACAATTCTGGGCCTGTTCGAACTAACCCAAAATTCAGAAGCCAGACCGGAAGGTCCCAGCGAACTCCAAGCAGCTCGACTAGCAGTTGACAGGGTCAACGAAATGGGTATTCTCTCGAAATTTCGACTGCAACTAATTCACAATGACACTATGGTAAGTGGTCAAAAATATTTTACATCAATTATTCATCGACGCGTGGAATACGTATTAAATTGTTTAAATAAAAAATTAAATGTTTCAAACAACATTTTTTTACTTGCCAATTAAGGCAAACAAGCGTGTAAGAATTATTTGCCTATGGAGACTCTACCTGACTCTCCCGTATGCTCCAAGGGGTAGCGACTATTAAAGGATGCAACTTTTACAAACTTTTCGGCTAATTATACGCGGCTGTTACTGCCGTCTAATACTTTCGTATAAACGGCACCGTTTTACGTATCTTGACTGTCTTTAAAACTTTAATACTTTGCCACTTTGTTCGCAACGTTTTTATCGGCCCTCGCGTGCCTTGAGTGCAAAATATTATGGAGTTTATATGGACACGATTCAGAATCGTGAGTCTGAGGTTCTAATATCTGAAATACGTAGGCAACCCATTCTAACCTTTTGGTTTACGGACAATAGCATAGTGTCGGATAGATTTTTATTTTAGAGAACACAAAGTTATATGTCGCAATATGAGAATCCGTCACTTATAAATTCCCCACTTTTCGATAAATTATTAAGCAAGTCAAAAGACCAAAGTGAAGAATAAATATATAAAAAATATAAATAAATAAAAAGCGAGCCAGTAAAATCTTTTCACCTCATTTGGTTCCCGATCATCAGCCGCTATTAAAGCTGATTAAATTAAAGTTAAGTATCGATATCGAATTATAAAAAGTTCAAGTAATTTCCAGAAAAAAAAATTTTAGGTAGACCCTACGATATATTTATATTTTATGTACCGTGACCAACAAAGGAATTGTTTTCATCTCTATAGGGGAAAGAATTAATTCAACAAGTAGGGGTGGCAGGGGATGGATTTCACATTCTACCCCCTGAACCACCAGTTTCATCTTTCAGTGCCTCTTTCAGCCTCGTTTCTCTCGACCATCCGCAGCCTCATTAAATGCAGCCTCCAGGCACCATATGCTTTTTATATGTTTGCCTTGCGAAACTTCTATCTCCCTCAAACGTGCCTTGGACCTTTACATAATATTACGTAAATGTCACGTAATGCGTCAATGTGAAATTCTATGAAAGAAATGTTCAAATATGGCCAGTATTTCGATACAAATTGAAATAGGCATATGCTGTGAACAAAATTCCTTAGAAGGACCAAATTTCACATTCTGGATCCCCAGTGAATTCTTCAAGGAATACCTGGCAAATACAATATCCTTCGCTTCCCAAATCCTATCCATGACCACGTTTCTTATTAAAAATCATCCCTCTCGTATCAGCAAACAGTACACCTAAAAGCTGAAAGTTCCGGAATCCTTTAGTGAAATTCTGCTTTTTTTTAATACTTAAACAATATATGTATTGTCACGTGATTTTTCGAATCACGGTCCCAAGGCGGCTCCGGTTACCGATACAGATAACGTTCTCGATTTCTGGTTCCCTTGGGGTCGCCAGCCTGCTCAGAAGCTACGCTCTCGGGTTGATTCGTACAGTTATGTCAAGGCTCTCGTAAGATTTCCTTATTGTTTAGTTGAGGTCGAGGTGCTCGAATCTGCCGTGGGGAGATAGTCTCGACGTACCGAGTTGCCCGGCAGAGGAGAGTACCCGACGGAGACGTCTCCACGGACCGGCAGAAGCCCGGCTGAGATACCGGCGCCCCGCTGGAGATGGGCAAAGGGCTGTAGAGCGGGCGGAGGGAGTTTTGATACGGTTAAGGGCAGGAGAGGAACCTCCTGCCCGAGTTGAGGACGTGGTGCCCAGCTGTCACCCGATGCCCTGCGGAAGCGGCCGTGGAGGATCTCCAGAAGATACGTACCGATTCGTTAAGGAACGCTCTCGATTTGGTTTAAAGGGACGACTCGAAGGAGATAGAAGAGTTGTCGGCTATAAGGCTCTCGACCAATCAGAATGATTAGTTCTCGGATTTGGCTATTGTCAATCGACTGCTTAAAGCAGTCTGTCTCGAGGCACCGATCGAGGTGTCACGGGGGACATCGCGCTCCCGTGCTATCTGTTGATAGCGATAGAAGAGTTATCGGTTAAAAAGGCTCTCGACCAATCAGAATGATTAGTTCCCGAATATGGCATTTGGCTATTGTCAAAGCAGTCTGTCTCGGGTCACCGACCGAGGTGTCACGGGCTGCCTCGCGCTCCCGTGCTCTCTGTTGATAGTTTTTCTTGCCGTGCTTCGCTACAGTATGGCAAGTTCTCGGTTCGTATAGTTCTCGCGTTGTTCTCGCGATATCCAGGCAATTCTATGAATTCCTGTGAGTGTTCCGGAGGTGTAGTGCTGTGCTTGAGTGTAGTGTCCACCAGAGTGTCCTTTGGATGCAGTTCTCGGCCTCCACGGACTAGCTGCCCCAGCTCCGGTGAGTCTCCCAATTTATTAATTGGTGAAGGGATCTCGATAGATAGTTAAGATTCGCTCTGATACGTTCTAGGTTCGTCGCTCTCTGTCTCTCGCACTATTTGTCGGACTCTTACTCCGACCCTCTCTAGCTCAAACCTAGTAGCCTGAGCGGCCGTGCATTTCCGTAACCGTCCGTTCCCGTTCGTGCATCCAGGTGCGTTTGCTGATTTTACGCGATCCCAAAAATCGACAGGATCCGTTAAGCTATCGCCCCGTCCGATAGGTTCCGTCAGAGCTCTCGTTCTTGGTGGAGTTGTGCCTGTTCCACCCCAACTCCCAGTTTATTCCGGCTCGTCAGTTCCCGGTGAAAAAAGAATTGGCTGGCGCCCGCCTGGCTTGCGGATGCACAAACGACGGGTGGACGGCCGAAGGTAACGTAGGTTCGTTCTCGAAGATAGTTCGTCCTCGTATGTTTTGCTATCGGTGTCGGGTCATAAGTTAAAAGAATTACGTTACAGTATATAGACATGTCGATATTTATACCCAAGCAGTTTTCCTGTTAGGTGGTCCCAAAAGCGATGATTTTTTTGTCTGTTAAATCCGTAGAAAAAAATATACCCAAGGGTAAACACAGTAATGACGTCATTCAAGACAGATTTCATAAGGGTGAGTGCTTAACAGATCGAGCAAAGCTGTCACTTCGGATTATCTACGAAATATTTATTTTTTCCGGTACGTAAAAAAATTGCCCGGTTGATTGGGGGGGGATACGAACAACACGCGGATCTGCGGTTCGTGTAAATAGGAATGCCTGTATAAGTCAATGCGAAAAAAATTGATCTGTAGTGATAAAATCTTATAGGGAGAACGTCCTGAAAACTGTAAGGGCGGACAAGAACAGTGTAAAGATTAAAAGTACAAGGACCAGGTAAAACACGAGGATCCAAAATATATACGTATCTGAAGGAACTTTAATATATTTCGAATAAATATGTATTAAAAGCACACACTCTTGCGCGTAGTGAGATTAAAGGTAGCACAGCATCGAAATTCTGGACCGATCCATGTTCTTGTCTTTAAAATATTTTTCTATAGTCACGTTCACAGGAGCTATGTTTATATGTATTTTTTTTTTAAATTTACTAGAATCGAAAATACTTTAAGGATTTGAATATTCGCGGGCTCGATCATACATATACAGAAATTCTATTGCTGTCTATCGCAACCCTTATGGTTACCAGAACGAAGAGAAGATTTTAGAGTTTCAAACACATGTTCGCATGAAACTCCCACAACTTCTATTTTACTTTGGATAACTCATTTAAATATCCCATAGGGTGGTTTTCAGGTTAACAGCTATACAAGGACAATTTATTTTATTTCTCTGACTACCCTAGTAATAATCCTGTATACTATACGTCTTCAGACATTTTTGTTAATAAAGCGGTCCCTTTGAATTTTCTGCGTATTCAGGTAAAATTCATTTCTGTCGATAACACGCAATCAAGTTGGGTTAGGTAAGGTCACATTATGTACAGCAGCCTGAGGGGGTCATAGGGTCATGGGGCCACGTGTCAATGGCTGCGCCTGCACAAACTTTCCCGATCCATTGTTGATTTTATTAACTCACAATGGATTGAAAAACGAACCATTGACCGGAACATACCCAATTAAGGGTGAATTGGTACTGGGTAAAATTCTTTCTCCCTCGACTCAAAAATTATTGTAAAAATTGTCAAAAGATCTTGAATGATTTTTATCACCATTTCCGTGACAACAGTTGGCTGTTGGTGTTATCAATCTGAAAGTTTTTTGGTCTGTTTTTTTTATCAAAATAATTATAACACTGTATTATCTCCTATCTTGGATATACCGTTATTTTGGTTTACCAGATAAAAGAAAATTCTTATTTTATTCGGTCATCAATCCCTTATTTATATTCCGTCAAGCCTCTTCCATCCTGATCCTGCTTTAAAACCCAGTCAATGTATATTCTTAGGTTCACGGCATGAGTTTCATCCCTGGTTAAATTTCGTGTACGAAATACAACCCAAAGCTCCATGTAACACGTAGTAAAGGCGAAGAACATAAAATGTCCAGGAAAGAATTTTAAATTGCGAAAGCGTCAACTTCCTGGAGGCGAAAAATGAAAAAATGAAAGATTATAAGGATAGATAAATTTTAAATTTATTGTCGAAGATTGATGTAGAAAACTTAAAAAAATTCTGGTTAACAAATTTTCATGAACCGCAATTTTAATTTTTCATTGCTTTCAATGAATTTTAAATTCATATCCAAAATGCTATATACCATAATCGCCCTTAGGAGGTTACTAAAATATCTATACAAGGCCCTTATCGAAAGGTTCAAAAGTTCTTAATCGAACGCATGGGGTAAACTACCCTCTAGCCTTCAGCAAGATCTAAATCAAATGCTCAGCCAGCACGTATTCACGCCAGAGTACTTTCTCTTATCGCTTGCAGGAGGGATACAAGGGGTAGTTTATACACTAGATAACCGACCCCGAAATTCACACGGTTGATAGAAATCCCATTGGATCCTATTATCAGCCATTTGCCTGACGAAACGAAATGGGTTATTAACAGGAATTATGGAAATTTGAAAAATGTTGTTGGCTGAAAAGTGAAAGTGGCTCCAGGGAAAACTAAGTGTAATTTCACTTCGGACTTTGCTAACTGAGTTTACTTATTCTGCTTTGGCGAATTTGAAAAAACAATTTTCTGCAGTCTTTATCCGCCCTGAACCCTTAATCGTCTCATCCCAGTTAGCCGGAAAATTACTGTCTACCAAGCCTTCCTGATTTTCTGATCTCGTCCCGGTTGGGCCTGGAAAAATTAAAGCAAATTCACAGAACACCTCCCTTTTTCCCCTGTAAAATACGACAGCCCTTATACTTGGTTCAGTACTAATATATTTCATTAATTATAAAGCTTTTCTAAAAGTCCTTCGACCATAATGACAAGGCTTTCTCTTTCATTTGTAATCCAAGAGAACCAGGCAAAAAAGTTTGCGAAAGAAGGGTCCTAACTAGCTCGAAGAAAAAAATGCTAGTGAAAAATATTTATTTTTTTAAATATAAGACTTTCCGCTATAGACTCTGTTAAAACCCATACACTATTGGCCCACCAACGAAAGGGCATGATTCTGATCTCTGCCTAGATGTCCCATAGATGAAGTAGCTACGAGCTCTGCGAGGTTTAAAGTTTCTCATGGAATTCAGACACACCCGTAGACAGGTCATCCCTAAAAGTGCCGTTTAGAGACTCGATAAGGGTAAGGTTTATGAGAAGGCAATAGCCCGAATCTTAACCCCCAAAAAAAGGGCACGACGAGTTTTTCCGTCAAAGCCCGATCCTAATATCGTCTGCTTGAAAGGTATTTTCAAGAATTTGATAAATATCCAGAAATTCGTCAAACAGTTAACCACCTTTCGTTTCTCTCCCAAATGATAAGATTGAATATGTCTTCGATATTACAGAGAACAGTATTCACCGAAGCGAATATCAAAACACGCTTGCGCATAACCTGTAAACAAGATAGTCAAGATACGGTTATATTGGAAATCTAATATAGCGTGTGACTCAACAAGTCAAGCAAGCAAAACGAGAACTGACCGTTTTCGCAGTCAATTCATATCACCGTACTCAGATCGCTTTACGAATTTAAAAACTAACGTAGGCAAACACAGGTTATAAATTTACGTAAATAACGGCAGCGAAACTTTAATTTCCAACTCGACAGGCATCTGGATAAACAGGCGTTGAAACGGAGCAGTTTTTGTTTTCCATACGAATGCAAATATCGGGCGCCATAGATTCTCCAGTTTTCTAAGTAACAAGAACAAGCAGTACGGTTCGCTTATTACGTCTGCAATATAACGGGTGTTAGAAAAACAGACAGTCGGCAAAAAAACATCAGTAAAATACATGCATGACATCACATCGCGTCAGACACGATATGCTACACGTCAACCTTGCGTGATCACGCTCTGCTTTATATCTACGCACGTAAACTTATCGTTAACTGACGCTTAGGGAGCATCCCTTGGGGCAAAATTAACTCCCTGTGTCACATAAGATTAACGTTGATTTACTCAGGACTTTCCTTACGCCTAGTCACTCTTTGGAATTTTATAATATATGATATTGGCGGTACATTCGCTGTTTCTTGTCTGTATACTAAAGCACTAACCTCACTTTTTTATTTAACCAATATTGACTCTTTACTTAAGACGGATATAAAAGGATTTATTTTTTTGCCTAATCTAACAAAGGGATAATAATTATAAAAATCTTAATGGGCAGTTCATTTGATAAACTGAAATATAATTTTTATTATACCTGGTAACTTAGCAGCTGATTAATTGACAGTTCCTGGCTGTTTGTGAATTATAGACATATATAATACATTTTTTTTTTCCGTATCTCGAAACAAATTTTCGAGTTCACAATTTTGAGTTTCGAATTTTGATAACGACTGCACAGGTCCTAATGCTTTTACGCGATAAAGAAAAATCCAAGATTCGTTCCCTTCGGTTGGGATTACTGTGGCATAAAAATTGAGAGAGACGAAGGAATCTTATATTGCTACGAGAAAGCGGAGAGATAAGGAAGGAAGAAGAAGGAAGAAGAATAAGCAGGTAATCCGTCTTGGAACTGCCGAATTTGAGATTAAAATTTAAAATGCATAGACGAATTCTCGCATCTGCGTTCACGCCAGTGGCAGAGTCGGCGTCTTCGCTCCCTCATCGTTCCACCCTGCTTTCCGGTCCTGGTGCGATCACAAAGAAAAAGGGTCGAGCTCCTGGCGAAAACAAGGGAAACGAAAGCAAGCCCTTCTATGGGAGACCATAAAATAATAGATGATAAGGATATAGAGACAGAGAGGGAGAGAAAGAAGGAATCAAAGACAATAGAAAGTGCCATACAAAAAGAGTGCGTACTGTCGTGAGCGCGTGGTCTCAGTGAAGACTGAAGGTGCGTCCTGGAAAATTGCTGAATTAAATGTGATGGAAAATGAAGCAGAACACCAGGGCAAAGAATATCATCCAGAGAGAAGAGAAAGAGGAATCAGTTTATTCAAACCGGGTAGATAGAGAATGAGAGAGGGATGAAGAGGGGGCTTCAAAACGTGGAAGGAAGCGTTGGGTGGACATTCAGGAAAATGAAAACTTTGAGGTACCTCGATGGTGTGAGGGCGATGAATTTAAATGCAAATGGATGCTACCGTGAATTTTTCAAACCACGAGGAACCAGCAACGAACGAACGATGGATTACGAGAGAAGCAGGAGCAGCGAAACGGAAGGAGCAGCATCCGAAATGTACCAAAAAGAACGGATCGTACTCACTTGATACGACGATAAAGAATATTACATTCGTGTATCGTATTATGCAATATAAAAGTCAGTATTACAAAGAATTGACGGAAAAATGTCAATATAAAAATGTAATGTCAATGGGTCGAAGGAGACGAACGAAACGGAAGTATATGATTTCTATTTGGATATGAAAACTGGCAACATCCATTGGTGAAACAAGATGCCGTCTTGGGATAAGAGAAAAAAATCCTTCCGCATCCCTTTTCCTTCTCTTTCTCTACTTTTATGTTTGAGTTCGATCGACCCGACATTTTCTTCCACCTTTTTTTTTTCTCTTCTCCAATTTCTTTACGCAATATTGTTTTCTTCTTCTTCTTATTCTTCGGTGTGTACAGTCCTTATTCCCAGGCTCGTTTCCATTCCTTTGGGTGGAACCAATCGACGGTTTTCGACATCAAATCAGAGAGGCGACATTATGGGAGGGAATTTGCAAATTAGTGTACAATCAAATCCTCATTTCGTTTATTTCACCTTTTCTTCTCGGCGTCTTATTATGGAAAAGACGTAAAAATGAACGACGCAAAATATTATACGAAGAACGCAAAAACGCAGACGACTTTCTTCTGCGCTTTCACACTTGCACAGTTGTTTGATGCTTCGATGCTTTTTTCTCTTTGCGAATTTCGCTAACTGCTCTTGCGCAGGCACCTTCGGCTTCTTCAAAATCCAAACGAGTCTCTCTTTTTATTCCCAAGCAAACTATTAGCGAGGAACGCTTGCAAAAGGTTCTCCGGGGTAGGGGGGGG